CTCGGGAGCGGGAGGGTGGGTAGAAACTTTTTTTTGGTTTGAGGGTTTTTTTTTTTTTCGGGGGTTATTCTGTTTAGGGTGTTTCCCCCTCCCCCCTCCTGTCCCCTCCGAAATAAATTAGGAGTTAATGACACGGGCAGCGAGCGGAGCTGGGCTATTAAGGAGCCGTCCAGGGCTATAATCACAGCAAAGCAAGAAAAAAGCCGCCGGGTAATTAAGGCTGATGATTAGGCGAAGAGGAAACTCCTCGCCGGCCTCCCGGGCCCGATCTCTGCCCGGATCCCTCCTGGTCCCGGCAAAACGAGGTGCTTTTTCTTTTCCTTTTTTTTTTTCCCTGGAGTTGGGGGGTCTGCGGGATTGGACCCCTCGAGCAGGAAAACGCTCCTGTGACAAAAAGCGAGTCCGTGGGCCCCTCGGCGCCTTTTCTATCCGAAAAGGGTTCTTTTTTTGGCGTTACCTCGGTAGCAGGACCCAATTTGGGCAAAACCACTCTGCGGAGGTTAGACCTGTAATTATTATTTTTCCAGCGTCAATTACACACGTGAGGAATAGATGAGCTTTAATAAATTAGGGGCACGCAGCCCTTAATTAGGAGGCATATCAAACCAGTACTATGAAAGTGATTCTCTCACTTTTTTACTTTCTACCTGTGGCATGAATAAAGAATATCTCTTTAAAAGTGTCTCTAATTACTGTGCGGATAAAAGCAAATACATATTGTTCTTTTTCATTTCTTTTAATCCTACACCAGGCGTTATTTAATGATGTGCTCGCAACTTTCTCTTTTTTTTTTAACCCCCAGGAAACAGAGAGTTTGGGTGCCGTTTTGGTGTTATTTATAACTGAGGGTCTAAATAAACATTATATACGCATATATACACACATATATACATGCATACATATATATGTATGTATGTATGCATGTACGTGTATATATACACATATTCACACACATAAACACACACACGCTGGGAAGGTGGTGGTGCATATGCCCAGATCTGGTTCTCTTAATGCAACCCCTTGCTCGATGCCCTGACTCCAGGGGATCTGTGGACAGAGCTGTGGGCTCGGCCTGGGCAAGCTGTAGGACTTTGGTCCCTGTGCAATTCTGTGTATATGCGTTCCGCAAATGTGCAAGCTTCCACTAGCTCATCTTGTTCTTACTTTGGACTCCCAACCTTCCTGCCAGCCCATGCAGCAGTCTTGGGCTTCCTCCCTCCTGCTAATACAAATCACGGCATCGCGCTCCCTCTGCACCCTGCGTGTTTATACTCCTTCCTGGAGGGTAGTTCGGGAGCTGATTTTGGAGACAAAAATCAGATTGTCAGGGATTTTCTTCAGGCTGTGCTCCTCTGCCTGGGCCAGACTGGAGAGCCTCCCTACTCACCCCTAGGAAACAGGCCCTGCTGAGTGCTCTGCACTGGGCTCAGCGGTCCCCCCTCCCGGCCCCTCGCAGCCCTGTGTATGCCTCACCCCGGGGCCAAACAACACATGTCCGAGCCGCTCCAGCCCTGACAGCACCTAGCCTGGTGCCAAGGGCAGGAAACTGGGACCTGGGGCAGAGGCCAGTGATTGCGGTGCGGGAAGGAGCAGGAGAGGACGTCTGCAGAGAAGCTGGGTTACAAAACCTCGCTGATCAGTAGGGCTAATAGTAGGGTTTGCATGCTCCTTATTTATTGCTAGCAGTGTCACTGCACACCTCCATGGGTTAAGGACTAAAGGCCAGGCGTGATTTGCAAAGAGAGGCAATGCCTTTCGCTATTTCAGCTAGCCTGGCTGAGAAAGCCTGCAGCATATCAGGCACCAGAGCCCTGACTTGGACTTTTCGCCAAGGGTGATAATAATAGTTACTCCAACAAGCTGATGCCTCTCTGGCAACTCTTGCCTGAAGTATCCCCAGTCTGTCACTTCTCTTTCCCCGGACAGCTCATCTCTTTCCTGGGAGATCCCACAGGGAGATGCAAGGCAGAACTTCCCAGCCCCGGCCTTGCAAACCCCTGCTGCAGCTCGACTGGGTTTTTCTCTCTTCTCCCCCCCTCCTCCCCTTCCTTTCCCTTCTCCATGCTTCCTGCACCGTGACAAGTAAATGAGAATTGATGGACATCCAGAAACAATGCGTGTGTGTCAAGAACAATACACCGCCCGTGGAAAGCCATTGTGGGGCTGCTGAAAATGCTACAGATAATTATACTGCGCTCCCAAAGTCAATGCCCGTTGGAAGGGCGCCTGGTGAAGGAGAGCTTGCAGGAGGGCAGGTCACGGTGACACTGATCCGGGACTCACATCCCTTGGGTGCAGCTCCTCTCCCTGGCTGTCTGGCTGTGGCCTGGGTGCACCAGCTCCCACGCCATTCCCGTGGGCTTGAGGAGGCTTCTCTGAGCTGTCATCCTCTGGGAGGGTGAAGGAAGGAGGAGGACCAAGGGACAAGCTTCTGTCAGTGCTGGGACCAGTATGGAGCAGAAGTTATCTCGTCCAGCCTGGCTTGGCTGGTTTAGGTGCCGTGTGGGCTTTGCAGGGATAGCAAAGCGTGACTCATGGTGTTTGCCCTTCTTCAGTGTTAGCCCATCGCGAGGTCGAGCATTTTCCATCTGAAGTCTGAACTTGGAGGTTTATCTCCTCCCGCACCCCTCCCCTCCTTCATCTTCCTCCTGTCAGTTAAAAATAGGAGAGCGAAGCCCCGTACGGCACTGAATGCCGGGATGGAAACCTCGCCGAACTGGGGTTTGGAGAAGTCTCTAGGACTTAAAGCTTCCCCCCCTCCCCCTCCCCGCCAGGAATGCAGAGCGACTGCCCAGCCTCAGACGAGCAGGGAACTCTCCCGGCCCCGGGGACCGCTGTGAGTGTGGGTTTGCCCCCGTGGGAGGCTTCCTCTCGCCTCGTGCCCCTGGTGAGGGCCGTGCCCCCGGGGAGGTCGACCTGCGGCTCGGGCGGCGGGGC